TTAATCACCTAATATAATAATAACATCTTCTCTTTTCCCTTTTAATTACAATTACTATCATTTCACACAAACAACTCTTTCAAAGGAATAATAAAAACAGCAAATGTCACCATCTGAAATAATAATCCCCATAGAGTACGACGAAGGTCATCAATTAAAATTAAAACCGAAATTCCAATGATTACTCGATAATTCACCACTCTCAACCTAAATCATGTCCACCTCAACAGATGAATGCGACTTAAATTTGTGTAATGATAACTTCCAACTCACCAAATGCATTATATTTATGGACCAGAATTTCGGAGCCACATAAGCGTATCGAATAAACTTCATCATCAGTCCATTGAATTTTCCATGAGTTCTAAATTTCATTCCTTAAGAAGTTCATAGTTACACGGCATTCAAATATTGAGATGAGCGAAAAAAGATGAAAAAAAGATTCTGAAATGAAATGAGCATTGAGAATTACATGTTTTTGAGCAATTAACGTTGTCAAATGGGTACCACCTGGCAAGCTCCAAAGTCTCAGATTCGGTTGAGCTTGTTTCACTTCACCAGTATCCGTCTATAATCACCATTTTTTGTTTCAAACAGTTGGAAACTTCTCATAAAGAAGCACTCTCCATAATACTAACTTCGATGAATTGAAAAAACTGAACTATTTTACTAAACGATTATCCATAAATTACTTCTTGCTACTTACTACTATCCTTCAAAATACCAAAATTCAAGTATGAATAAAATCATCTCAAAAAATTCGAACCGTTTTCGAGCCATAAACAGCGTACGGCTCAAACGTGGCCATGAGGCGATCTTTCGGTGAGAATAAAATTTGTTGCGTTCGGGGCAACTCAACATTAAGTATCTCTTTACCGGTCGTGGATTCAACTAGTACGGTCCTGCATTATTCAAAATTTCTCAGTTTGGACGCAACATAACATTGAAGCGCCTTTTTGAAAAGACCCACGAAAATATAATCATCAAAAACATCATCAAAATTAATTCTTTTAACAAAACGCTGTGCAACTTTCATGAATAATAAATAATTTTCAAAATATTCTTAAACTGAGTCAACTTTTTGAAAATATTCGCAATAAATTTTTCACCTCACGGAGTCACAGTAGCAAAAGTATTGCCCACTGTTGCTAAATTGGAACACACGACACGGCGTTGCTTTCGGATTTCTGAAATTACTTTCATTCTGCCTTATCAATTATTATAAATTGTAACTGCAATTCTGGATCAATAATTGCCCGCCATGTTACTACTTGAGAGAATTTCCCAAAACTTACTCATTCTTTTCAAATATCGGTTCAGGTTCAGTGATACCACGATGTATCGAGAAACCTTCAGAGCCACGCACTGAAATAACCGAATAATTTTTTTGTAATCTTGACCACAACCTCACATATGCTTTAGACTTTATGAAGTGCATAAATGTTGTAATGGAAACAAGATGAATCGATAAAACATGGTGGAACGAACCTGCGAATAGTAGACTTTCACCCATTTTTGCTGGACAAATATATTTATAAACACAGAGAGATCACAGTTTAAGATATGCGAGTCGAGGAAATACAACAGGTCAAAATACCCTTTAAATAAATTTTATATGATTATGGTGCAATATTTGTCTCATTCAAACGCATAATTACGTTAATTTCCTGGATGGAGCACTTTCGAGTAATCGTCGTGTTATGATAGCAATAATAATTATTATTATCATAGCATCAAAATATGCAAAATTCATACGGGTATTTATTTCGAAATCAACAAAGCACTTTCATTTCACAATTTATAACACAGTTAGTGTTATGTTCTAAATTATGTAGTAATCTGAACATGAAACCGAATCAATTCCTAATTTCACTACATCAACTGCCCTCAAAGTAACCAAAACAGTTAACCAGTTTTTGATTGACCAATTAATTAATTAAACAATTTCCTATCGGCTTGATGAGCATTTTGTTCCCTACCAAATGGTACCCGGTTATTTGACCCCTATAGTTCGTTTCGGTTCGATTTGATCAAACGCATTCATTTTGTGCGCGTAATACAAAAACATTAGATTGGATTAACTGATTAGAAATCTTTATTTGATTGGTTGATCGAACGAATGTTTGTGATCAGCCGAAGCAATTGGTGATGTGGAGGCTGAGACTCTGTAGCATCATTCACTAAAATTTCTGTGTGTCCTCAAGGGGACACTTTCACCCTCATCCGAAGTTGGACATTCTGCTAGGCAAGGTGGACATTTTCGGTTGAGGGGCCTCGGTTCGGGCTCATAGTTTACCATCAACTGAGGGCAAACGCCCTGAGTTCCTCTACCTTTAATGAGGTCGAGAGTAGTGCGCTTACTTTTAGTTGAGTGTAAACACCTTGTCCATCCCCAGTCTAGCGGTGTCATATTGATCCCATACCTTAGGTACCGTTTTTCATCGAGGAAATTCTACTTCTTGTTTAATATTCCTTCTCCTTTTGGATTAAATCCTCCTCTCTCCCGAAGG